GTACGTGCCAAACGAATATATATGGGATGAATAAATAAAATAAATATGAATACCAAGCACTGAATGAAAGAAAAATACCAGTTTCAGAAATGTAATAAAGTTATTCTTTAACAATGGAAAAAATTAACCTCTTCAGGCACTCAAATATTTGTTGATAATAAAGTCAAGTGAGGCCACGCGCGGTGGCTCATGCCTGTAATCCCACCACTTTTGGAGGTCAAGGCGAGAGAATTGCTTGAGGCCAGGCATTGAAGACCAACCTGGGCAACACAGCAAGACCCTGTGCCTACAAATAATTTTTAAAATTGGCCAGAAGTGGTGTCATGTGCCTATAGTTGCTACTCAGGAGGCTGAGGTGAGAGGATCGCTTGAGCCCAGGAGTTCAAGGCTGCAGTGAGCTGTGATCACACCACTGAACTCTAAACAAGAGCGAGATCTTGTCTCGAAAAAATTTAAAACTCAAATGATTTTAAATACTAATTTTAAAATAGCCTCTGAGACTCTTTTTTGGGACACTATGAACCAGAATATTATCACGCTAAAAGCTGCCAGTGAAACAGTAAAAGATTCCATCATTGTATTTCTCAGTGCTCCACGATGTAGATACTATTGTCCTTTGACAAATGAGGAAACTGAGACAGAGAAAGATTAAGCCATTAAGGTTGGGTACAGTGGCTCACACCTATAATCCCAACACTTTGGGAGGCTGAGGCGGGCAGATCACTTGAGTTCCAGACCAGCCTGATCAACCTGGCAAAACCCCATTTCTACTAAAAATACAAAAATTAGCTGGGCATGGTGGTGCACACCTGTAATCCCAGCTACTCAGGAGGCTTGAGGCACAAGAATGGCTTGAACCCAGGAGGTGGAGGTTGCAGGGAGCCAAGATCGCACCACTGTACTCCAGCCTGGGTGACTGACAGAGTGAGACTCTGTCTCCAAAAATAAAATAAAATAAAATGAAAAATAAAAGAAAGAAAGATTAAGCTATCAGCCCAAATAATACAATTAGCATATTGTGAAGGCTGGATCCTGATCAGTCCTGCCTGCCTCCAGAACCAGGCCTTGAGCTGCCAGGCAATAGGGCTGTACAGCCTGATTGCCCTGCACAATTAAGGTTATGCTGACAAGAGTCCTTAACAATCACAGCTACTATTATGCAGACCAGCATTATGTTGCAATAAGGGCCACCCACATTTTTTGAAGACTGTAAAGGGAGTTAAGGTGACCTCTTAGCCTTTCAATAATTTTGACTAAGGAAAACCCTTGACCAACATATTTTTTAAAGACAAACAGAAGTTTTGCAACCGTGAATCTTCCAGTGTTTGAAGTCAGATTTTGAAACATAAGGCATGTTCTCATTCTTCTTATGTTTAATAGCAGGAAATTAGAACCTAGATTTTCAGTCGGGTATGGTGACGCACTCCTGTAGTCCCAGTTATCTGGGGGTGGGTGGGGAGTGGGTCCTGGGGCAGGAGGATTCCTTGAGCGGGGGAGGTTGAGGCTGCAGTGAGCCATGATCATGCCACTGCACTCTAGCCTGGGCAACAGAGCAAGACCCTGTCTTCCAAAAAAGAAAAAAAAAACAAAGAACCTAGATTTGAAGAGATTTCATGTTAGACGCCAGATACATCATTTTTAACATCTTATTCTCTATCTTGCTGATTGGCTCTCTTCTTATCAAGGATACTTCTCTGAGAGGAAGCCAGAAAAACAGCCGCCAGAAGAGCATCTGGTATTAAGAGGCTCAGTATCTGGAAGAGAGCATCAGATGTGTGTTATCTGACTTCCTTCTTACAGCTGGCTGTGTAATCTTCCCGCAAAGGAAGCCTGGGATAGTCCATACTGAGAAGGTCCAGGAGGAACAAATGGCATTGCAGAGAGGAAGAGAGGAAAGGGGAAATGGGTGGTAGGAGAAAAAGAATGGAAAAGACAGAAGATGAGATCATGTCTGCGGCAATTTCATAGGCCATGTCTACACTGATCTCTGGTGTTTACAATGCTGGCTGGAGTTCGCTTGCAGAAGTGCAGTGATAGTGTTAGGGGCGTTTGAACCAGAGTAACTCCATCTTAAATAGGAGCTACATAAAATGAGGCTGAGACCTACTGGGCTGCATTCCCAGATGGTTAAGACATTTTACGTCACAGGGTGAGATAGGAGGTCATCACAAGATACAGATCACAAAGCCCCTGCTGATAAAACAGGTCACAGTAAAGACGCCAGCCAAAACCTATGAAAACCAACATGGCCACAAGAGTGACCTCTGGCTGTCCTGGCAACATCAGGAAATTATCCTATATGGTCTAAAATGGGGAGGCATGAAAATCCACCCCTTGTTTAGCATACCATCAAGAAATAACCACAAAAAAGGGCAACCAGCAGTCCTCAGGGCTGCTTTATGGAGTAGCCATTCTTTTATTTCTTTACTTTCCTAATAAACTTGCTTTTGTCGGGCACGGTGGCTCACACCTGTAATCCCAGCACTTTGGGAGGCCAAGGCAGGTAGATCACCTGAGGTCAGGAGTTCAAGACCAGCCTGGCCAACATGGTAAAACCTCATTTCTACTAAAAATTCAAAAATTAACCGGGTGTAGTGGTGCATACTTGTAATCCCAATTACTCAGGGGCTAAGGCAAGAGAACTGCTTGAACCTGAGAGGCGGAGGTTGCAGTGAGCCGAGATCGCGCCACTGTACTCCAGCCTGGGCAACAGAGCGAGACTCCATCTCAAAAACAAAAACAAACAAAAAAACTTGCTTTCACTTTTCTCTACAGACTCGCCCTGAATTCTTTCTTGTATGAGATTCAAAACCCTCTCTTGGAGTCAGGACCCCCTTCCTGTTAACAAGAGAATAAAAATGTGTACAAAGATTCATGCATTAAAATCTCTTCCCTTTTGGAGGGTCAGTGTGGAGTACAAAAGAGGCAGAAAGACAGAATGTGACTGGTTCATCCCGCATTATCCAGAGAAGGGACAGCTGGCCAGCCATGGCAGAACTGGCAATGTACGTAACAGCAGATCAGAGCTGGAGAACACCAAAAGATATTCATTACTCCTTTCAACCTTAATTACAACTAGGCTCCCCTTGTAATTGTTTTAATCAAAGCCACCATTATTGCAGCAATAGCAATAATTAGGACCCCACAAATAAGAAGAGTAACAATAATCATTATTTTTGACATGGAAAGATACACCATTTTTGACGGGCCAATTTCTATATTTCTCAGCAAAACTGATACTTTCTTTTTAGAGACAGGATCTGATTTTTGGGCTTCAGTGATCTTCCCACCTCAGCCCCTGAGAAGCAGGGACTACAGGTGTGTGCCACCACACGTGGCTAATTTTTTAAACATTTTTTGTTGAGATGGGGTCTCGCTGTGTTACCCAGGCTGGTCTCAAGCTGCTGGCCTCAAGTGATCCCCTCGCCTTGGTCTCCCAGAGTGCTGGGATTATAGGCATGAGCCACCGTGCCCAGTCCCTTTTTAAAATTATCAAAGAATTACAGCAGGATTCTTGTTCTTTTCTCTTCGTCTGGGTTTACTGACTGTTGGAAGTGTGAAGAAAAAGCAAACATGAAGTCCATAAAGCACGTTTCACATTTTTAGCCACTCAGATAATGATTCCCTAGAAGAGAAGGTTGAATTTAAGGAAGAATATGAGATTGAGAATAAAGCATAGATTTCAATTTTTCGGGCTGATGCCAATCCCCATTTCCATGGATAATCAAAGGCTGAGTGGGTTAGACATAATTTTTGCACCTAACTGGGAAGACAGCAGAGTTAAAACACTGAGCTTGTCTCCCTCGTGTGGAAATCAGTATCATCCTGCCCTTCTTCCCACCCCCACCCATCACACTTATGGTTAAGTGCTTTCTGCTTCCTTCCCTACGTTCTCCATACTCAAAGGTCAATCTGATAACACACCAGTGAGGTCAGTAGAGGAGGCCTCATATCTCCTGTGACCCCAAACCTGCTCTATCTGCTAAAAGTCATTGCACACAGCCAAGAAACAAAAACATCCCTAGCCACAGTTGGGTAATGTCTATGTGGCTGTCAAAATAACCAGAGGAAACAGGTAGGTGAAGACAGAAAGCTAGCACAAAGCAAGGCATGCAGAAGGAGCACATCTGTGATTCAAAAGAAAAAAAAAATGTTAGGCACAGTGGTTCATGCCTGTAATTCTAGTCCTTTGGCAGGCAGAGGCAGGAGGATCGCTTGAGGCCAGGAGTTCAAGACCAGCCTGGTCAATAGAGCAAGACCCCGTCTCCACTACCAAAAATAAAAAACTAGCCTGGGCATGGTGCTGCATGTCTGTAGTCCCAGCTAGTCAGGAGGCTGAGGTGACAGGATCTTGAGCACAGGAATTCTAGGCTGCAATGAGCTACGATCACACTACTGCACTTCAGCCTGGGCAATAGGGCAAGAACCTATCCAAAAAAAAAAAATAAATAAAAAATAGAAGAGCAGAAACAAAACCCTAATGTCAGTTTTTTAAGGAAAAGGAGTTACCACAAGTCTGTATCTGTAAGATCTATTTTACCCTGAAAATAAATTTATGTATTTGTGTATTCATTCATTCATTTGCTACTTCATTCATTCACAGTGCTAAGCACGCCGTGCTTTCAGGGTACACAGCAGTTGGTACCATGCTTTCCTCAGTGAGGTAATACCCCTTCATTACCTGCACTTTAGATGCGTTTAGATGTGTTTGTGGTTGAACATGGGAACACTGTTTTGGGGAACTGCATACTCTCTAGGCCTTTCCTCTCTGGCCTGGCCTCCTGTTCTCTTGCTATATTGGCAAAGAAGACTGAGCTTGCAGGCAGAAGTTTTCTACACCCGGCTTCCTCCTCCCAAGCCCCCAGAGAGATCCGGAACAACTCAATAGTATGCACAGTCCACTAAGCTATCCTTTACCTTTCACAACGAAGGTAAGTTTACTTTCCTTGATGTTCATTAAAGAGCGAGCTACCCAAGGAGAAATGAGAGCATATTCGTACCTGGTCTCTCAGCCTCTCTTGGTGACCCATGATTGCAGAGGCGTGGTGGGGATACTTCTGCTTCAGATGTTCTAGGAACGCTTCTCTCTTCCGATCCATCTCAGATGTTTGCATTCCCAGGATTTCCTTGGAACTTCGGGGCCCTCCTAGGGTGTGTCTCCTTGGGATATTGCGGGAAGACTTGGAAACTGAACCACGACTATTTCCATTAGAAAGGCGTTCCTTGGTTCTGCGGCATTCTGCATCTTCTAGTGATGTTACATGCAGATTGCCTTTCCCTTGTTCTGAAAGACAAAAAAATTCAGTTCACAATTAATGATTTCCCACTAGAAGTCTCATTTGCAGAACACCAAGAGAGTTTGCGGCAGTTGTTAATGTATGAATGTTAACTTTGCAAATCTTTTTTCTTTTTGTTTCTTTTTCTGCTTTGCAGCAGTCAGGGGGAAAAAATCCACAATCAAAGAAATACGAAAAATCATACTTTAGAAATAAAGATGTTCACTGGGCATGGCGGCTCCTGCCTGTAACCCCAGCGTTTTGGGAGGCTAAGGCAGGAGAATCACTTGAGCCCAAGAGTTCAAGACCAGCCTGGGTAACATGGTGGACCCCTATCTCTACAAAAAATTAAAATTAGCCAGGAGTAGTGGTGCACGCCTGTAGGTCCCAGCTTATCGGGAGGCTGAGGCAAGACAACTGCTTGAGTCCAAGAGGTTGAGGCTGCAGTAAGCTATGATCATGCCATTGCATTCCAGCCTGGGTAGCTGACAGTTGTGAGACCCTGTCTCAAAACATAAAAACAAGAAAACCCACAAGAACACTTGGTTAGGTTACTTGTGTGCAGGCAGTTGGGTTATTCCTTATCCTTGTCTGTAATTATAGAAAGAGTTAACTCCGGCTGCGCGCGGTGGCTCACACCTGTAATCCCAGCACTTTGGGAGGCTGAGGCGGGCAGATCACGAGGTCAGGAGATCGAGACCATCCTGGCTAACACAGTGAAACCCCGTCTCTACTAAAAATACAAACAAAAAGAAAAAAAAATAGCCGGGCGTGGTGGCGGGTGCCTGTAGTCCCAGCTACTTGGGAGGCTAAGGCAGGAGAATGGCATGAACCCAGGAGGCGAAGCTTGCAGTGAGCCGAGATCGCACCACTGCACTCCAGCCTGGGCCACAGAGCGAGACTCCATCTCAAAATAAAAAAATAAATAAATAAAATAAAGAAAGAATTAACTCCGGTGATTCTGATTATTTCTGTATTTTAAATAACAGTTTCATTCTGGTAACAGGATTGTTATATAAGCTCAATCAGATTTCTGAAACATTTGCTTCATCACCAAGAAAAAAAATAGCTATCACCCTGTACATAAGTAATTATTGACACATGTGAACCATTTGACAATTTTATTTTCTCTTATTGGCATAAACCAAGCAAGCATAAGAATATCATCAGAAGTAACAATCGAGGGGTTATAAAGTAAAGGCTTAGACAAATGAAAAAGAAGAGCAATGGTATGTCCTGATAGCCTGGACCTAAGACATCCTGCCTTCTGAGCTGGCTTTGAAGGGACAAGTTGGTTTCTGCTAAGAACAGATCAACTAAGCCATGTGATGTCAACGCTGAGAGTGGGGAGCAGGTAAAGGGAATCTCCATTCATCCTCGATGGTTGGGAGATGGGGTGTCAGGTTTGAATATTCCAGTGAGCTGAGAAAAGAGAGTTACATTTTTAAAAAAAACAATTAGGGAGAAAAAGTAAAACATTCAGAAGCACTTCAGGAGTTAGACAGGCTCTCTTCATGAAGTCAGGCTCTTCACGAAGAACAGTTCTTGTCATAAAGTATGGCTGATACAGGCAGAATAATGTTTCCCTGTCCATTGAATTCCCTGGAAAAAGTACTAGGCTGGATCTCAGGAATCTTGGCTTTAATCCGACATTTAGAACAAATGATGTGACCTCTCTCAGTCTCATTCTCTTCATAAATAAAATGAAGATGATTGAACTAACATTAGATATGCAAAGAGCCTTCTACCTCTAAATCTTTTAAAACTATTCTAATTGTTTTTTTTTAAATAAGTTTCCAATAGAAGCATATTTGCCAATTATTTATCTTTACAAGTTAAGCGCAGAAAAATACAGATTCAATATTTGGGAGTTCTGCTCAGCTGAATGCCAGATAAACAGAAATCAATCCTTCATGCTAGTTTTGCAAAGCAACAGGTGTTGAGAGTTTAGGCATAAATCAGTTTCCAGAAAGCAATGCCACCAACACTCTTTCCCTTGTCTTTGCCTGGAAAGATCTGTGTATAGAACTCTAGGTATAGATGCCCTTTGGTTGGGCAGGGAAAACATTTTAATCTCAGGCTGGTTTTCCTGTTCCAGTCTTCTAACCCTTGATGTGTGTTCTGGGAATAATTCTTCTTGTTTACCCTTCAATTCTCATTACACTGCTAATTATAGCATCTCCATCAGACACTGATGGGGAACCGGAGAAAAAGCACAGCCAAGTTAGTCAATTCTTCTACTTTTCATTAGTTTCAGCAGTAAGTTTACAAGGAGAAGAAGATGGAACTATTGGGCTAAAAGATAGGGCTAAACTGTCATTTCATTTACTTAGCTTACCCTTCGAACACTTAGACTCACATCATGGCTACCTTTTAAATGATCTCTTCCTTAACAATATAAAAACAACAGGATCTATTGAACAAAGCTCGATGCAGAAAATGCTGTGTCTCAGGTTGATAAACACCTGTGCAATCTGAAGAGGTTTAGCTTTCTCTTTTGAGTGTTGTGCATGTGTTTCATATCAGCCAAAATTGTTGTATACTTGATATAACACTCTTGCCTTTGTTTTGTTTTGTTTTGGTTTGGTTTGGTTTTGAGACAGGGTCTTGCTCTGTCAGGCTGGAATGCAATAGCATGATCATGGCTCACTGCAGCCTTGACCTCCTGGGTGCAAGCAATCCTCTTGCCTCAGCCTCCTGACTAGCTGGGACCACAGATGTGTGCCACCACACCTGGCTATTTTTTTATTTTTATGTATTTTTTTTTTTTTTTTTACCTTTTTTCTTTTTTTTTGACACAGAGTCTCACTCCATCACTGAGGCTGGAGTGCAGTGGTGCGATCTCAGTTCACCGCAACCTCTACCTACTGAGTTCGAGCGATTCTTGTGCCTCAGCCTCCTGAGCGGCTGGGATTACAGCCGTGCGCAACCATGCCCGGCTAATTTTTGTATTTTTAATAGAAACGGGGTTTCACCATGTTGGCCAGGCTGGTCTCGAACCCCTGACCTCAAGTGATCCACCTGCCTCAGCCTCCCAAAGTGCCAGGATTACAAGCATGAGCCATCACACCTAGCAACACTACTGACTTTTAAGTGGAGTTTGAAGATTAGTTTTGACATTATTAAGAAAATATATTTTAAGTTATCCAGGACAGCTAGATGAATTAACAGGATTGAGCCTCTGGAAGGGTGATTTCTTACACAAGTATAACACACATCTGTCTACATGCACATGTACAGTCATACGGCTAAACGTCCATGCATGTCCAATGGCAACAACAGGGCAGAAAGTCGCATCCCGCCTTACTATGCCACACAGGCTCATATGATCTATTCTGTTTCATCCAAAGAGCATCAGAAGAGGTCTAGACAGCCAGGACAATAAACCCTCCTTCTTTTTTGAAATGAGTTGGGAAGGGAGCTGGAAGGGGAGAGTTTTGGGGGTCAGAGCCAATCTTCTGTCCACATTAATCTTTGAGTAGCTCTGATTTACTTGACTAGACTCATCAAACTTCTGTTTTTTCCTAGCACTTTTCACCTCATGTTGCTTTTCTGTTTTTTCTTTCTTGTGGATTTTTCGAAAATATCTCCAGTTGCTTAACAAGGATTGATGTGATTTGGAGGAAAGGTACAAACAGCATCAACCATTAGCAAGGCTGGAAGGGTCAATGCAGCCACTTGGCAAACTTCAGATTGCCTTCGGAGCTCACTTCTTCTTTTTGTCTCAATGTCCTGCCTTGTGCCTTCCACCCAATGCCCAATGCTCTAGCATTCTGTCTGCCTCCCCTCCTACCTCGAGGCACCTGCTCTACTGTCACCAGCACTCACAGCCACCTAACGCCACTTTCCACACAAAGCCCCTTTACCCACATCCGTCATCTGAGCCTCTTCCTCAACAAGGCTAAGCTCTTGGAAGCGTCAAGTCCCACACCTGAGGGAGAAGCAACAACTCTGCCATTCCAGCCATTTCAGGAGAATGTGGTCTTTTCAGCAGGGAAAAACTAAGAACAATTAAAACAAGAGAGGGAGCAGGCAGAGGACATTAGTCACAATTCCATAGCCATGTTGTCAGAGATCTGAGCCTGGCCAACTCCTCATTATCCACATGAATAGAGAAAAGCTCAAGTGTGGATTATCCAAGCCATCAAAACAGAAATACAATTCGATTTCTTGTTTGGAATGCGCTTTGGTGTTAACATTTAAATATGGGTGTGTCTAGCTGTTTGCTATTCTGGGAATCCTTGTTGAACAAAATAATAAAGCTGTAGCATGAAGGCAAGGCTTGCTGAAAGGCAGTCCTGTTTCCCTTTCCTGCCCCTCCCAGCCTCTGCAGAGCCCAGGGCAACTCCTCCTGGGAGCTCACTTCAAGCAGGGCAAAGAGCAACATATGAGCTTAAAGCCGAGCAAAATCCCTGCAACATTCCCTGGAGAAGTGAGGACAAGGCAGACAGAAATGCTAGAGGGACACTTCAGGAATCCAAGGGGCTCCCAGACTAGGATTTGGCATTCTGGAAAGAAAGCATGGAAAGTAGGGGCTGAGGTAGACACCAAACACGCAGAGGCTCTTGGAAGATGAGGCATCCTCAAGGAGAAAGCCGCACTGCAAGTCCCGCAGGCAGGCAACTGCAGGAGCTGCCAAGGCCAGCTTCTTCACCACAACTCAGGTTACTCTGGCTGGGTCAGCTGACCTGCAGCAAGGGATTTGGGGCCTTGCATCACTCAGGCATTCCACACCCGCTCCAGAGCCAGCAACAGTGCTGACGGCTTCCCTGAGATCCTCTTCCTGGGTCAAGATTAGGTAGGCCGCAGACTCTGAGGGAAGGCATCCCCCCTTCTTTCTGGTGGCTTCTGGTTAGCTGTCTCCTTCTCAAGTGTGCTGAGAAGCTCTCTTGTCACAGGGAGCATCATGGGGAGTTGCTGTTTGGTCTGGAGACAGCCCTATGTGTTCAACCAGAATGCTCTTCTGCTGCACACACAGGCAGACCGCATTTTCCAGCCACCTCCCTCC